TGGATTAGAAAGAGAGAGTGAGGTGGAAAGGGTCTCGGGTTAGAGAAAATAGGAAGAAAAATGGGTTCCTTTTCTCATAAGTAGAGGTTACGTAAATTTAGGTGAGAAGATTGGGTGGTACAATTGTAGATGAAGTTAACCAAGAGGAAGAAAAATCGGGTCACTGTGTTACGGTAGAAGAAGAAGGAGAATGAAGTCTTAAGAAGAAGGGGATGAAAAAATGGGGTTTCTGGGTTTTCTGAAAGTCTGATGCGATTCTGCATAATTCTGCAGAATTCTGCAGAATTCTGCAGAACGCGCATTCGTCCATTTGTCTAGACCAAATTAGCGTTCGGCCAAAATGTCTTGAGCGTTCGGTCTTGTGCCCTGCGAGTAAGCGTCAGCGTTCGTCCTTGGGTGTGCGTCAGGATCAGTTTAGGTTCGTCCTTTGGAAGGTGTTAGTCCGATTTATCGTTCGTCCTCGAGCCTGTGTGTTAGTGGTCGGTTAGCGTTGTCTTGGCATGCGTTAGCGATAATTTAGCGTTGCTTGAGCAGATGTCAGTGGTCAATTAGTGTTCGTCGTGAGCATGGGTTAGTAACGATGACGTTCGTCCTCAGGTACTCTTCATAGTTAGCGTTCGGTCACGATTGGGATTGATATTTGATGCGTTCGTCCAAAGAGTACGCGATCCCTAATGATGTTCGGTTGGCGGAGAAAGAGGTGGCACGCGGTGTGGGCGCCAGGAAGTGACGCGTACGTGTATTTAGCGCAACTAACAGCATCAGAGACAGTGTGACTGATTGAGGCGAAGGTCAAGGCGGGATGGGTGGCCGCTGGAAGTGGAGTTACTATAGCGGTTCGGCCACAGGAGATGTGTCCGGCAAATAATGGTGTCGCGGTGGCTTAGCGATTCGCGCATAGATTCCATGGTGATCTCACAGAGTCGGTAAGATGCAAGTAGTAGTTCGGGTTCCAGGTCCTGCTCTTGGGTTGAGTTGAATGCGTAACATGTTTGGAAAGCATACTGTTAATTTGATTTAGGGACATAGTTTTGTAATGAATGAGATATGTGTTAATTGTGGTGATAATATGCTGTGAATGTAAATGTTGAATTTGGTAGTTGAGTTGGGAAATCTCGGGGAGAGAGAGAGAAAGGTGAAATGATTGTGGGGTGTTGTGATGTTGTATAACTGTATGGAGCTTTGAACTGGGTATGTCTATCCCTACACTCGAAGCAATTGTTCTACTCATATAGAGGAGAACAATGTGTAAGTTGGTGAGGAGTAGAGGGAGGTCCTCGTCATATAGTCTTAGAGTTTAGAATAGACAGAGATTGGGGATTACCTTGCATAGTGTTGGGGAGTGCCAACTGATCTACGCAAGTGCAAAGACGACCAATAGCTCGGACAGTTATAACTAATTCGGATTGAGTCGCGTAAGTGTTGGAGTCATGGTTTAAAGATGTTATGTATTAACTGTTTTATATGTACTAAGCATGATGATTATAAGTGATTCAATAGTATGATTAATTGCTTGGTTATTTAGCTCACCCTTGTTACTGTGTTGTGTGTTGCTGTGTATGTTTCTTTGCGATGATCATCGCTTGGATGGAGACAGATGTTGTTGAGGAGATACCTTTGGACAAAGAGACTAGAGGAGGAATGATGCGTGCTGCACAGTCTCTTAGATTTAGATATTAGGACCGTTGGTATTAAAATACTCTAAATTGTTTTTAAGTTTAACTATGTATTATGTTTTAGGATGACTGTAATTTCGTGTTCAAATTGCAAGTCATATTCTAACTGTTCTCTTTATTGGGGATGTTGACTCCTAAATTATATGATGTGGTTGTTATATTTTGGGGTGTCAACATACTCTAATTTAAAATTTATATAATTATAGTTTCTTTTTAAATTTTTATTGTTAAATAAATTTTAGAAAAATGTTATTTTGATATTTAATATTTGATAATTTGATGTTTTTTTACCTAATTTTTATTTTTTTAATCAATTAATTAACATTGAAACAGTAAAAATTGTGAATATGATTATATCCATTACTTGGTGAGATAAAAAATTTATACCTATTAGATATCAGTACGAAAACAAGGATGCACTTTTTTTTTTAAATGAGCATGAGGTAATGGAATCTTCCTCTGTCTTGTCTTTGTCATCCTTAGTATGATTGATTTAATTTTTGTTTTCGTATTTAATTAATAAAATAAATTGATATCTTTTTTTAGTAGGTTTCAAAATTTTATTTTTTTATCATTTAAATGTATGATGTTTAGTTTGAGGCAGTAAAATGATCAAATAAGCATATCATCCTCAAGATATCTCAGACTTAATTTAAAAATATAAACATTTTAAATATTTAATAAAATATTTTTTTAATAAAAACTTAATTAAAAAATGTTTGAAATTTAATTAAGTTACTTATTTTTATTTTTTATATGAAAATATGCAATTATTGATATAACATGTCACTTCAATAAACTCAAATGATAGATATATTTAATTAAAAAGATGTAAATGTTAGACATTTAATAAGCAAACATTTTGATAGACACTGAAGTTTAATATATATTTTTATATTGCTTTTACATTTATGTTGTCTATTTTCAATCTTTCTAGTTGCCATCGTTATGGTTTTATTATGGAATCCAAGTTAAAAATACCAAGATACCATTATAAAATACCTATGGTAAATAGTGAATAATAATGTTTAATGTGATATTATCCATACACATTTTAGAAAACAATTATCACTGGTTAAATTGACATGAGAAATGAAAGCGATTTGACTTTTATTCGAAATAAATAATATTAATAAGGAAATAGCATGGAAAATGAGATTATAAAAGGAATATATTTAAAGGGAAAGTGAAAGTGGTAGTAATTAATACTATATCTTATGGTAGTTGTGAAGAATGAAGAATGTGAACCCACCTCCATTATTTGATCTTACATTAGTTTTTTCTATAAATACAAAGGCACAAGGCTTTCTTCAATCAACTTTCCAAAAACAAAGAAATAGCATAAAAATGTTTTCAGGGATTCAAGGACTGTTGAACAGAAGCAAGAAGTTGAAGGGAAGTGTGGTGTTGATGCATAAGAATGTGCTGGATATCAACGCCATTAAGTCAGCCAAAAGCGCCACCGGTATCCTCCGCGGCGCCGCCGGTGTCGTCAGTGATCTGGTGGGAAACTCAGTCGACACTCTCACTTGCTGTGCGGGACGATCTGTGGCTCTCTGGTTGATCAGCGCCACCGCTGCCGATGGTAGCTATCTTCTTTTCTCACTACTGCTTCAGTACACTTTGCCACCTTCATCTCCATTGCTTTCAACTTCTCACGTCAAACAACACAAAATCTTAGCTTTTCATCATTTCCATAAAAAATATCGATACTAATTATTTTTAGTTTCTAGTATATTATATCTTTTCTATATATTTTCATGACGAAGTTAACTTAAAAAGATCGGCTTGTAAAAGCTACATTCTATATTATTTTATAAATTGTAGTGATCTCTAAGTATGTCATATTTTTAAAATATTCAATAGTTTTGTGTTGTTAATACTATTAATAAAAAGGTGATGAGAAACTTTGTAAATATACAGAGAAACAAAAATATGTAAATAAAGGTGAACACAAACTTTTGTAACGATAAAATTTTGAAAACAAAAGTAAAAAAAAAAACTATAGAAAAATGATACTTTGATACATCTAATTTTTTTTACATTCATTTTACATTACCTTTTCTTATTTTTTATTTTTTTCTTTTTCAAAAAATTACAAAAAAATACTTTTAAGACCATTTTATCTTTATTTGAGATTCCACAAAGTGTTTAATACGATAGAATATGATCATTATAAGTTTAAACAAATAAGAATTATAAAATATAATTTTATTTTAGTTTACAAAAGCTATCTACATGATTTACATGTTTACAATGACAATTATCGGGTATGTACAGTGTTTACCCGTTATTTTATTTATAACAAAAGACTTAATAGTTATCTACTTATTGGTAATTGGATATCCATTTAAAATAAAATTTAAATAAAATTATAAAAAATATATATAAACTATAATATAAATTAAACTTTAATTTTTTTATTAACAATAAATACTTTCAAATATGAATTGTATAATATTTCATTCGACCTATGAATAAATATTAAAATAATCCCAATCTGCTGTCCCCTAATAACAAATACCTATAAATATTAATTATACATACTAGATTTTATGTGCAAATACCTAAAATATCATTTTTTTCTCACTAAAACAAGAGAAATTCAATTAGTAGGTTGTTTTTATTCAATAAAAAGAATCATTAACACTTTTTTTTATTTTAATTTTGTTTCCACGTCTTAAAAAATACAACATAAAGTACAATATTTCATTTATTTTATTTTGGTTCAGTATCTTCATTATGAACAAACTGCCAGGTAGATATTTTTTTCTACTCAAAGGTTATATTAATATTTTGGTGAATGACAAAAGATATTCTTAAATAGTTTTGTTAACTTTTGTAGGAAATGGACATGGAAAAGTGGGAAAGAAGACATATCTGGAAGGAATTATTTCCTCGATACCAACTTTGGGAGCTGGCCAATGTGCATTTGATATTCATTTTGAATGGGACAGTGACATGGGAATTCCTGGAGCCTTTTTAATACAAAATCATATGCAACTTGAGTTCTTCCTAGTCAGTTTAACTCTCGAAGATATTCCTAATCATGGAACCATGCACTTTTCTTGTAACTCATGGCTTTACAACTATAAAAATTACGAAAAGGATCGAATTTTCTTTGCCAACGAGGTAAACTGTTATTTTTAGCAAGTATATATGCATGTTGATTATTGATTATCATGAAAGAAAATAAGTAACCTAGTTCGTTTACAAGATTTTTGTTATGATAATGAACGTTAAAGAAATATATATTGCAGACATATATTCCAAGTGAAACACCAGGACACTAGTGAGTTACAGAGAAGCAGAATTGCAGACTCTAAGAGGAAATGGAACAGGAAAACGTAAGGAATGTGACAGAATTTATGATTACGATGTTTACAATGATTTGGGCAAACCCGACAGCAGTGAAAACCTTGCTCGCCCAGTTCTTGGAGGATCTGTCACTTATCCCTACCCTCGAAGAGGAAGAACTGGTAGAAAACCTACCAAAAAAGGTTACATTTCTATCTCAGGAACATAACCTAATTTTGTTTTCTTCTGTAGTTCTTCTTGACATAAATTTGTAGCATTATTCCACTCTTGACAGATCCCAACAGTGAGAAACCGAGCGATAATTTTTACGTTCCAAGAGATGAAAATTTCGGTCATTTGAAGTCATCCGACTTCCTTACTTATGCGGTAAAAGCTGTATCTCGAAACTTCTTGCCACTGTTCAGATCTTCATTTGATCTGAGTTTCACACCAAGTGAGTTTGATAGCTTCGAAGATGTACGTAATCTATGTGAAGGTGGAGTTAAACTGCATACAGATCTACTCTCCAAAATTAGCCCTTTACCTGTGCTCAAAGAAATCTTTCGCACAGATGGTGAAAGCGTCCTCAAGTTTTCAGTGCCTCATGTAATCAGAGGTGTTTTCATATGTGTAGACTTTTATATTTGCACACACATACAGTGAATCTTAACAAAACCATGATTGAACTTTGGAAATTATTTTCATTTTTATTTGGAGCAGTCAGTAAATCTGCATGGATGACCGATGAAGAATTTGCAAGAGAGATGATTGCAGGTGTAAATCCTTGCTTGATTACCTGTCTAAAAGTAAGTCCAAGTTTTCTATTCTTTACTTTGAGAGTTGAAGTTGTTTGTCATCTTTCCTCATAATATTCTTTAATGACTGACAGGAGTTTCCACCTCAAAGCAATTTGGATCCCTCCATCTATGGTGATCAATCCAGTAAAATAACTAAGCAACACTTGGAGATTAACCTTGAAGGGTTCACAGTAGATAAGGCAATTGAAGGCAAGAGACTGTTCATATTAGATCACCATGATGTGTTTATGCCGTTTTTGACAAGGCTAAACGAATTAAAAACTACAAAGGCTTATGCCACGAGGACAATCCTTTTCTTGAAAGATGATGGGACCTTAAAGCCATTGGTCATCGAATTAAGTTTGCCAAATTCAGTTGAACACCAACGTGGTTCCATCAGTAAAGTGATATTGCCCGCAAACCTTGGAGTTGAAAGTACAATTTGGCTGCTAGCCAAGGCTCATGTTATTGTGAATGATTCCTGCTATCATCAGCTCATAAGCCACTGGTCTGAACTCTCTCACTAAAATCATTGCACAAAGTTTTAATATATGTATACAAAATTATTCCTAACCCTTTTTCTTATACATATAAACGTGGTCACAGGTTGAATACTCATGCTGTAATCGAACCCTTTGTCATATCAACAAACAGAAATCTCAGTGTTCTTCACCCTATTTATAAACTTCTATTTCCTCATTATCGTGACACAATGAATATCAATGCACTTGCTCGAGAATCACTAATCAATGCTGAGGGCGTTATAGAGCAATCCTTTTTGGGTGGAAAATATGCAATTGAGATATCTTCGGCAGCTTACAAAAATTGGGTGTTTCCTGACCAAGCCTTACCTACTGATCTTATAAAGAGGTTAGCTATGTGAACATGGAAGAAGGGTTTTATGCGAATAGTTTTACTAATTACTGTCTTATTTTTTACATTCAAATCCAAAAGGGTTGATTCCCTAGTATGTCGTTGGTCTTAAGGCATGCCAAAAACTCACTTTCTTAAATGTTATAAACCTTTCTGTACTGTGAAAACGCATACAATTTTTCTTTGATGAGAGCCAAAGCTATGGAAGATACTTTTGCTGTTAATAACAGTTTTTCTTTGCCTGATTCAGAGGCATGGCTATTAAGGATTCATCTTCTCCAAATGGTCTTGGTCTTGTGATAAAGGACTACCCGTATGCTGTTGATGGATTAGAGATATGGAACGCAATCGAGACATGGGTCCGTGAATATGTCTTGTTGTATTATGTTACAGATGATGCAGTTAAAAAGGATATTGAACTTGAAGCTTGGTGGAAAGAAGTTGTTGAAAAAGGTCATGGTGACTTAAAAGATAAGGCATGGTGGCCTAAATTACACACTCGTGAAGAGCTGATTCGATCTTGTAGTACCATCATATGGATTGCTTCAGCTTTTCATGCAGCAGTTAATTTTGGACAATATCCTTACGGTGGCTTTATACTGAATCGTCCAACTCTAAGCAGAAGATTGATTCCAGAAAAGGGAACTCCAGAATATGAAGAGATGTCAAAGAATCCTCAAAAGGCTTATTTGAGAACAATTACACCAAAGTATCAGGCTCTTGTTGACCTTTCAGTGATAGAGATACTATCAAGACATGCCTCTGACGAGGTGTACCTTGGACAGAGGGACAATCCAAATTGGACGTCTGATTCAAGGGCCATAGAAGCCTTTAAAAAGTTTGGAAAAAGGCTAGAAGACATTGAGACAAAAATCTCAGAAAGGAATCATGATCCAAATCTTAAAAATCGAACTGGACCAGCTGAATTGCCTTACACTTTGCTTCTTCCTACTAGTGAAACGGGGTTGACTTTTAGAGGAATTCCCAACAGCATCTCTATCTGAGTGTGGGTTGAAAATTTAGGTTGTTTTTAACTTAACAGAGTAATATTATAATGTCTTTCTGTGTATTCTTGTATTGTTCTTAACTTTTACAGAAGGTTTGTTATGTTATGATTTGTTGTTAGTTTTTTTCCAGTTTAGCTTAGCTATGGTTAGATTTTGTATTAAAATATATTATTTCCGTAGTGTAAGTCGCATCTGAATGAAATCAGTAGAGCATAAAAATGGTGTTTCCTGTCCATATTTGCAAAATAAAGAAAAACGGGTTGATGATTTTCCTTTCAAATGAACAACCGTACTTCCATCCTTTCTTATACTTCAATTTCAGGGAAAGACAGCATGTACCTGAATCCAGCAAACATTTACGGTGTTTTTGGAGATAAATTACATTACGAAGGAAACAAATAATGTCAAACACATAAAGAAAATTCAATGCCCCTGTTAATAAGGTCTAGAGCCATGGCTTCTCTGGCTGAAGACAACAAATTCCTTTCCTCATAATTTAACACTTACTTTTATGGAATAAATTAATAAGCAGAAGTTTCCTTCTTACGTACAGAAAATTTAACTGAAGAAATTTAATTGATTGCAGAACAAATTTAGATTGAATAGTAATAAAAAGTAATATTCATATATTCACAGTTAACTCAAATCTGCCAATTCATACAACATTACCTATTTCTTCCATCAAAATTACACAAACAGAATCACTCCCTTCAAATTTACCAAGTAAAAAGGAACAGTTTAATTCAACCAAACCAAGCAGAAAAATCATTAGCAACCAGATAAACAGGACAAGGTGTTTGCTCTCAAAGCATTCAAGTTGTTTATGTAAAGGCCTAGAAAATTATAAGGCCATTGGGCCCAGTTGGAGGCAGCCAGGCCCAAACTAAGGGAACATGACCTTAGCAAGGGTCTTTCCCCAAAAGTCAGATTCTTCTTTCTATTTTCCTTTCTCACTCTAAAAAGAAACTTTTGCCCTAAAGGTTTTCTCTGCCTTCTCTCTAGATACTCTGAACTTGGAACCATAGAAAGTTGATTCTGGTGCTGCCTAAGTGTTTGTGGAGTAGGGGGTTTCGTTTCCAGGGAACAATTTCCTGTTCCAATCGGTAAGTTTCCTTTTCCCCTTCTCTTTCACTGTTCTAGAACATAGGGCATGTGAATTTGCTGGGTTCACGTACCTTGTACGTTTTCCTTCCATTCTCTGTCTATTTGGGCTCTAAGAGCTATGTTTTATCACCAATATGGTGATTTGTAGGTTCTGTCAAGTTCCGCTCTGTGTGGAGGGTACTGTTAGGGAACTCCAGTAGGATATACTGCTCATCTTCAAGGTAAGGGGAGCTAACTATGTTTTTATATATATTATTTGTATGATGTGTGTAGGATGGATGAATTTTTGAAGTAAGTATGTCAGTATGCTTGAGTTGGATTCCTATAAATTAAATTGAATGTGTTTGGGTACTGAGTTGGATGAACTATAATGTGATGTGTTGTATGTTCTGTTGGGTATATTGATTGACTGCAATAATTCACTCTTGGAAGTAGTTACGCGTGTGGAGGCTGTTAGACCAAATTTTAGTGAGGAAATATATATACTTGTGTTGTGTTTAGTGGAAGTATTAACCTGAAGAAAAAGAAAAGGGAAGAAAACGTATTTTTGATAGAAGTGGTTACTGGTTTATGTGGATAAGGAGGTGTAGTAGAGAGTAAGGAGCTCTGTAAAAAAAAATGGATTAAGAAAGAGAGAGTGGAAAGGGTCTCGGGTTAGAGAAAATAGGAAGAAAAATGGGTTCCTTTCTCCTAAGTAGAGGTTACGTAAATTTAGGTGAGAAGATTGGGTGGTACAATTGTAGAGTGAAGTTGAACCAGAGGAAGAAAAATCGGGTCACTGTGTTACGGTAGAAGAAAAGGAGAATGAAGTCTTAAGAAGAAGGGGATGAAAAAATGGGGTTTCTGGGTTTTCTGAAAGTCTGATGCGATTCTGCATAATTCTGCAGAATTCTGCAGAATGAGCGTTCGTCCTTTTGCTAGACCAAATTAGCGTTCGGCCAAAATGTCTTGAGCGTTCGGTCTTGTGCCCTGCGAGTAAGCGTCAGCGTTCGTCCTTGGGTGTGCGTCAGGGATCAGTTAGTGTTCGTCCTTTGGAAGGTGTTGGTCATGATTTATCGTTCGTCCTCGAGCCTGTGTTAGTGATCGGTTAGCGTTCGTCCTTGGCATGCGTTAGCGATAATTTAGCGTTCGCCCTTGAGCAGATGTCAGTGGTCAATTAGTGTTCGTCCGTGAGCATGGGTTAGTAACGATGACGTTCGTCCTCAGGTACTCTTCATAGTTAGCGTTCGGTCACGATTGGGCTTGATATTTGAGCGTTCGTCCAAAGAGTACGCGATCCCTAATGGCGTTCGGTTTTGGCGTTCGGCCAATTGTGCCCAGTTTAATATGGCGTTCGGTTTTAGCGTTCGGCCAATTGTGTCCAATCTAATGGTGTGCGGTTTGAGCGTTCGTCCTAGCATGGTTGATCTCACAGAGTTCGTGCAAGTAGTGTTCGGTTCCAGGTTCCTTGCTCTTGGGTTGAGTTAAATGCGTAACATGTTTGGAATGCATACTTTAATTTGATTTATGTGACAGTATGTGAATGCATGAGATATGTTTAAATTGTTGTGATAATATGCTTGTGAATGTAAATGTTGAATTTGAGTGTGAGTTGGACATCTCGGGGAGAGATGGATGAAAGTGATATGTGGGGTGTTGTTGATGTTCTGTATAACTGTATGGAGCTTTGAACTGGTATGTCTATCCCTACACTCGAAGCATTGTTCATACTCAGATAGAGGAGAACAATGTAAGTGGTGAGAGTAGAGGGAGGTCCTCGTCTATAGTCTTAGAGTTTAGACATAGACAGATTTGGGGGATTTACCTTGCATAGTGTTGGGGAGTGCCAACTGATCTACGCAAGTGCAAAGACGACCAATAGCTCGACAGTTATACTAATTCGGATTGAGTCGCGTAAGTGTTGGAGTCATGGTTTAAAGTGTTATGTATTAACTGTTTTATATGTACTAAGCATGATGATTACTAAGTGATTCAATAGTATGATTATTGCTTGTTTATTTAGCTTACCCTTGCTTCTGTGTTGTGTGTTGCTTGTGTATGTTTTCTTTGCGATGATCATCCGCTTGGATGGGAGCAGATGTTGTTGAGGAGATACCTTTGGAGCAAGAGCTAGAGGAGAATGATGCTGCTGCACAGTCTACTTAGGATTTAGATATTTAGACCGTTGAATATTAAATACTCTAAATTGTTTAAGTTTAACTATGTATTATGTTTTAGATGACTGTAATTTCGTGTTCAAATTGCAAGTCATATTCTAACTGTTCTCTTTATTGGGGATGTTGACTCCTAAATTATATGATGTGGTTGTTATATTTTGGGGTGTCACATACTCTAATTTAAAATTTATATAATTATAGTTTCTTTTTAAATTTTTATTGTTAAATAAATTTTAGAAAAATGTTATTTTGATATTTAATATTTGATAATTTGATGTTTTTTTACCTAATTTTTATTTTTTTAATCAATTAATTAACATTGAAACAGTAAAAATTGTGAATATGATTATATCCATTACTTGGTGAGATAAAAAATTTATACCTATTAGATATCAGTACGAAAACAAGGATGCACTTTTTTTTTTAAATGAGCATGAGGTAATGGAATCTTCCTCTGTCTTGTCTTTGTCATCCTTAGTATGATTGATTTAATTTTTGTTTTCGTATTTAATTAATAAAATAAATTGATATCTTTTTTTAGTAGGTTTCAAAATTTTATTTTTTTATCATTTAAATGTATGATGTTTAGTTTGAGGCAGTAAAATGATCAAATAAGCATATCATCCTCAAGATATCTCAGACTTAATTTAAAAATATAAACATTTTAAATATTTAATAAAATATTTTTTTAATAAAAACTTAATTAAAAAATGTTTGAAATTTAATTAAGTTACTTATTTTTATTTTTTATATGAAAATATGCAATTATTGATATAACATGTCACTTCAATAAACTCAAATGATAGATATATTTAATTAAAAAGATGTAAATGTTAGACATTTAATAAGCAAACATTTTGATAGACACTGAAGTTTAATATATATTTTTATATTGCTTTTACATTTATGTTGTCTATTTTCAATCTTTCTAGTTGCCATCGTTATGGTTTTATTATGGAATCCAAGTTAAAAATACCAAGATACCATTATAAAATACCTATGGTAAATAGTGAATAATAATGTTTAATGTGATATTATCCATACACATTTTAGAAAACAATTATCACTGGTTAAATTGACATGAGAAATGAAAGCGATTTGACTTTTATTCGAAATAAATAATATTAATAAGGAAATAGCATGGAAAATGAGATTATAAAAGGAATATATTTAAAGGGAAAGTGAAAGTGGTAGTAATTAATACTATATCTTATGGTAGTTGTGAAGAATGAAGAATGTGAACCCACCTCCATTATTTGATCTTACATTAGTTTTTTCTATAAATACAAAGGCACAAGGCTTTCTTCAATCAACTTTCCAAAAACAAAGAAATAGCATAAAAATGTTTTCAGGGATTCAAGGACTGTTGAACAGAAGCAAGAAGTTGAAGGGAAGTGTGGTGTTGATGCATAAGAATGTGCTGGATATCAACGCCATTAAGTCAGCCAAAAGCGCCACCGGTATCCTCCGCGGCGCCGCCGGTGTCGTCAGTGATCTGGTGGGAAACTCAGTCGACACTCTCACTTGCTGTGCGGGACGATCTGTGGCTCTCTGGTTGATCAGCGCCACCGCTGCCGATGGTAGCTATCTTCTTTTCTCACTACTGCTTCAGTACACTTTGCCACCTTCATCTCCATTGCTTTCAACTTCTCACGTCAAACAACACAAAATCTTAGCTTTTCATCATTTCCATAAAAAATATCGATACTAATTATTTTTAGTTTCTAGTATATTATATCTTTTCTATATATTTTCATGACGAAGTTAACTTAAAAAGATCGGCTTGTAAAAGCTACATTCTATATTATTTTATAAATTGTAGTGATCTCTAAGTATGTCATATTT